AAACTATCAATCAAAAAAAAAAAAAAAAAAAAAAATTAATAAATAAATCAATCAAAGGCGGGGCGGGGCGACCCCGCCCCCACCAATCAATCAATCAATCAATCAATCAACGGAAAAAAAAAAAAAAAAAACACGTTCTTTTTTTTTTTCTTCATTTCTTCTCGTCGGCAGCCCAACCCCCCCAACCAAAAGATGTTCTTTTTCCATTTTTTTTTGTGTGGGGGGGTGGGGCCGGGGATGCGCCGTCAAATGGCGTTTCCCAAATCCCTAAACCCCCTCCATTTTGGCCGCCACGTGGTGCCAAAGCCGCGCGACCTCGCGTACTTGGCCGCGCTTGTCCGTCGCCCCAAGGATTCGTAGCTGGGAAATGACGGTCATCGTTGTGTGAAGATCCGGTGTTACCCGGACGTTGTTGCACAAACACAACAACACAAACGAACTTTGTTAAACGAGAGACATTTGCTGGTCGGCGGCGAATGGGTGGGTGGATGAATGATTGGGTTGGATCAGTCGTCAATCTGATCGCTGACAAGAACATTTATCGCCGAGCAACAAATGTCTCCCACTTAACACCTGCCCTGTCCTTTGCTCATTGCGGTGCTTGTTAATTTGCATGACCCCTTGATTGATAGAACGCTTGTTTGGTGCTTTGAAATGGTGTGTGGTCTGAAAGAGACCAAAAACAAAAAAACACACACACACAAATACCAAACGCACACGAAGGGTTCATCAATCGCTAGATCATAATCGTTCTATTGATCTCTTTACCTGTTGTGCAGACAAACATGGCCAAGGGTGCACGCACACGCTACATGACATGAGCTTCAGTCGACCAATGTATGTCTTGAGAGATCGCGAATGGACTGAATGACTCGACTGCCTCGAAAAACACATGTTTGGTTTGTCGACGTGGACAAAAGAGCACGTGAGAACAGAAGGGCACACGCAGACATAAGGGCACGCGCACACACCCACACACAACCTCGTCAGTCCCGTTTGATTGAATGATCGATCAACGGAGCTGATTGACGCGCAGACACCGACTTTTCATTTGATTGGCAGGCGATTGCGTTCAGTGGTTGATTGCATACGACAGCACATGCAAGAGATCATATTCAGTTGTTGATTGGCAGACAACACCATTCGTTGCTCTATTCGATCGATCAACCAACAACGACGCAAGCAATCACATTCAGTTGTTGATTGATGGATCGGTCGATTGTATCTCGCGAATCGTTCTGCCAACATGAAAAGGCTTTCCCGCACAACTTCACAAGACCGAGCGGACAATACATACGTAAAAAAAAGCTTCAACATCGATGAATCCAACAAATCATAATTGAAAGTAGACGCAAAGTTAGCGGCTGTAACGAATTCGCGCTTTCTGGTTTTTGTTTCTTTTTAGTCCAGACTCTAAAATCCTGCGTTGCTCTCGCAAAACATAAACCACCATACACACACACAAACACAAACACAGCCGGACGTGCGCACATTGGCGCTACCAAACACGAACACGAACACAAACATAAACACAAACACAAACACAAACATAAACACAAACACAAACACAAACACAAACACAAACACAAACACAAACACTCACGTGCACCCCAAAGCCCGTTGCTACTGCAAACCTCGCAGTCGTTGTACACATTCGATTTTTGTCGAGACCTACCGCTGCGCAGATGTCCTAAGGTTGGGTGGAAGTGCGGGGCGGAGAGACCACTGCGCGTAAAGATGCTACGTGAAGGCTGAGGTTGGCGAAGCATTCAAGCATGGAAGGCGACCCGCTCTGCGAGGTGGACGAGTAGTGCGAGAAATGATATGGGCGTTTCATACTCTAAAATCCTGCGTTGCTCTCGCAAAACATAAACCACCATACACACACACAAACACAAACACAGCCGGACGTGCGCACATTGGTGCTACCAAACACGAACACGAACACAAACATAAACACAAACACAGACACAAACATAAACACAAACACAAACACAAACACAAACACAAACAC